TTTTTTTTTTTTTTTTTTTTTAGAGAATTTTACTCTGTCACCCTGGGTAGAGTGCTTTGGCATAATCAGGGCTCACAGCAACTTCAATCTCTTGGGCTCAGGAGATCGTCTTGCCTCTGCCTTCTGAGTAGCTAGGACTACAGGTAACAGCCATGATGCCTGGCTAGTTTTTCTATTTTTAGTTGAGGTAGAGTCTTACTCTTGCTCAGGCTGGTTTTGAACTCCTAAGCTAAAGCAATCCACCTGCCTAGGATTACAGGTGTGAGCAAATGTGCTTGACCCCAGACATTTAATTTCATTTGATGTTTTTATTTTTCTTTGGGGGATATGTGGGAAAGTTTTTCACATATACTTTTCAGCTACCATACTCAATTCTTATTAGTGGATTGCAGAATGCTTTTGGACTAATGATTAATTTAGACAGCTTGCTACAAATATCTCTGACTCACTTTCGTATTTTGACTGAATTAAACAAGTTTCTTTTAAAAGTTGTACCTTCTAGTGTTGTAGATAAATCAATGGAAATAAAGAGGTTGCATAAATATTTAATTTCCCAATTCTCCTCACCCTGGTCAAGGGTATGTTAATTTTAAGATTCCTCATATTCTACTTACAGATGGATATAATTGCCAATTTGTATAGTGACAGTAATCTCTCTTAGCTGAGTAAAGGTTTACTTCTTCATTAAAAAAGAGGGAGTGTGTAATTGCTATTGTTTTAATTGATGTGTCTTACTGTGGTTATAATTTTTCCAATGAAAGGAAAAACAATTCTTTATCTACAGTGTGCAGAGCCAGTATAGTGTTAGCTCAAGTTCAGGCACATTTAAGCTTTAAACCTTAAATGGAAATGAGTATGGGTGAAGAATGATTTAACCTAAGTTAATGACCATACTCCAGTATCTAATCTGTTTCTTATGAACAAAGCTGCGTTGTCAATGCTAGATAGAAAAGTGAAGGAGATATTTATAGTAGTACCCAGTGTCTGAGGGCTTCCCTGTTAACACTTCAACAAAGATTAATTTTTTATGCTTTTGTCCCCAAGATAGGCAACTGGAAAAACACTGGAAGTGAGGAGAAATATTGTTATATTAATAGGGAAGTTGAAAGACCTGCAGAGATAAGGCCAAACAACTTTGCGTTTTTATTATAATGCGATTGTTTTCTGTCTCAGGAGAAAAAACAACATGAATGGATGTGAGGATACGCGATTATTGCATCTTAAGTAAGTTCTTATCCCCCAGTTTTGTCATGATACAATGACTGAATAGAGTTGCTGGTCTAATTATAAATTTTCTTTTCAATATACCTAGGTATTTTTCAGATTTAATTATTATCACACTAAGCATTTGTTAATCCAAAAGGAAGCTTGCTGTAGGTGCAATTCTCAGCCAGTACATGGAGCAGTTTGACATGACTTGCTACTCCACAAAACCTCTGTTTCCTGCTCTAGGGCAGTAGCAGCAGCAGCAGCAGCAGCAGCAGCAGCACACAGTCCAGTGACTCTTCTCTCTGTCAGGTTCACCTCACAGTTCAGAGCCCTGGAAGCATTGAAGAAGAAGGTATTTCCCCTGTAGAGGAAGAAACAGACATGTTGCTCTGCAGCCTGCTGAAGGTGGTCACAGCTTCAATGTGGCTAGGTAGGGATGGCCAGTGGGAATATGCTTCCTCTATTATGTGAGGACTGGGGGTACAGGATGGACTTATGGAGATGTTGGGAAGGAGGCGTGACAGGCCATAAAAATAGAATTTCTTTTGTTTTACACCACTTATCCCTAAATCTTCCAATTCTTTTTTCCTTCAGGATCTGGTATTGCCCAGAAGGTAACTCAAGTCCAGCCAGCAATGTTGGTGCAGGAGAAGGAGGCTGTGACTCTGGAATGCACATATGACACCAGTGATCCTAGTTATAACCTATTCTGGTACAAGCAGCCCAGCAGTGGAGAGATGATTTTCATTATTCGCCAGGACTCCTATAGTCAGAAAAACGAAACAGAGGGTCGCTACTCACTGAATTTCCAGAAGGCCAGCAAAGTCATCAACCTTGTCATCTCAGCTTCACAACTGGGGGACTCAGCAACGTATTTCTGTGCACTGAGTGGCCCACAGTGGGAGGCTAGCTGGAGGGAGGTGTACAAAAACTGCAGGCACCTCCTCATGACACGCACTGCAGCAGGGAATCACCATGACAGACAGGAAGTGGTTAGGCCTGTGGCAGCACAGGTGTAGGATTGGAGGGAAAACATTCACTTTGAGAAAATACTTCTCGAAATTCATAGACCATTTTCAGAGTAATTATTCATCAAAACAGTCTATCATCAAATCTTTGGACTGAGTTTAGACATACAGAATTTTTGACTGAATATTGAAGAGAAAGAACAATCACAAGAAGCAACTGGCATTTGGCTATTAGACTGAGCTAGAAGAATTGTCTAAGGAAATTCATAAACATGTGGTTGAAAAAATTATTAGAAGTTTTTGTGAATTTTGGATTCTCTGATCACTTGCTCAGTAAGTATGAGGGATCTTCAAAAAGTTAATAGAAATGCACATTACAAAAAATCTGCATGGATTTCATTTTTTCTTACATCAAAATAAACTCATACTATTTGCTATAATATGCTTGAATAGGATCTAGTTTGAAGCCCTAAAAAGTATATGACATCAGTTTGAAAACAGCCCCTATTAGAACAACATGAATTTTGCCAAATTTGCTGAAAGAACAAATATTAAATTTATGGTGATTCTTGGATGGAAGAATGGTCAAATCACTGATGCATTATGAAAAGTTTTGGGGAACAATTCCCCCAAAGGAGTCACCAGTTTATAAATAGATAACTCATTTTAAGAAAGGATGAGAAAATGCTGATGATGTAACCTGCAGTGGGAAACCATCCACGGCAGTCTGCAAGGCAGTCCTTCATCTTGTTAATTGAGGAGGACCCACATGATTGACAGAAGAAATGTAGCCAACACCACAGACATCTCAACTGGTTCAGCTTGCACAATTCTTACTGAAAAGTTAAAGTTGAGCTAATTTTCTACTGGACAGATGCTAAAACAGTTGCACCCAGATTAGCTGCAGGCAGGAGCAGAGCTTTAATGAAAATTTTAAACAAGTGGAATCAGATCCTGAAGGATTTCTTTGAAGAGTTGACACAGGAGATGAAGCATGGCTTTACCAGTGTGATTCTGAAGACACTGCATGATCAAAGTAATGGCCAGGAGGTAGAAGTGGTCTAGTCACAGCAAAAGCAGACCAGTCAAGGGAAACATGGTTAATGGTTTCTTGGGATGCTTTAGATATTTTGGTGTTGACTTTCTGGAGGATCATAGAAAGATTACATCTGCTTATTATGAGAGTGTTTTGAGAAAGTTAGCCAAAAGAAAAGCAGAAAGATGCTACAAGAGAAATCTTCACTTGAGAGTTCTTCTTCTCCACCACAACAATGCTTCTCCCTATTCTTCTCATCAAACAAGGGCAATTTTGTGAGAGTTTTGGTGGGAAATCATTAGACATCCATCTTATAGGCCAAATTTGACTCCTTTTGACATCTTTTGCTTTCTTAATTTTATTGCACAGTTTTCTTTAGTAATGTAAAAAAGATTGCATTGACATGACTAAATTCCCACACCCCCTCCCACTTAATAGTCTTATTACAATCTCTAGCATGGAAGAGCTCACGTTCTGTACTGTAGGTTTACCTGCCCTCATACCAGACTTATCTATAAAGAGATCAATAATTACTGGCTTTTAGAGGGACTTTGTGAAGAAGCAGATAATAAATTCTCTCTTTTCTCTGCTCTTGTACTTCACTTAATCACTTCTTCAAGAGCACTTAATGCTAGGGTGGTGCCTGTGGCTCAGTGAGTAGGGCACCATATACCGAGGGTGGTGGGTTCAAACCCAGCCCTGGTCAAACTGCAACAAAAAATAGCTGGGCATTGTGGTGAGTGCCTGTAGTCCCAATTACTTGGGAGGCTGAGGCAAGAGAATCACCTAAACCCAAGAACTGGAGTTTGCTGTGAGCTGTGATGCCATGGCACTCTATCAAGGGCATGAGATTCTGTCTCTAAAAAGAAAAAAAAAGCACTTAATACTATCATGTGGATAATTTTGCACACCCCTAGACCTGTTATGCTCAATCAATTTCCACAATGCAAAATCTCCATTCTCTTCAATTTCCTCCTTTTACCTGTAACACCATTTTCACTTGCCTTAAAATATGAATGGTAATGGTTGATAAGTGATCTTGCATTTTAAGTTCCTTTTATATTTGCATTTGGAAATTAGACATGTGGAGTAGAAATCTTAAAGGAAAAGTATGCTTAAATTTTTAAAAACATTTTAATTGTGAAAAATTTTAATTGTTGAAAAATACACATGACAAAATTTATCATTTTAACCACTTATAAGTGTATATAGTTCAGTGGATTAAACACATGCAGGTAGTGGTGCAGCCATCACTTGTCATCCATCATGAGAACTGTTTACATTTTGCAAACCTGAAACTGTATATCTACTAAACAATAACTCTTTATTTCCCACCACCTGTGGCCCTTGGAAACCACCATTCTACTCTGTGTTTATGAATTTAACTTTTGTAGATATATAAGTGCAATCATATCATATTTATGCTTTTGTGATTGGCTCATTTCATTTAGCATAATACCCTCAAAGATTGTCCATGTTCTATCACATTGTCAGAATTTCCTTCCTTTTTAAGGCTGAATAATAATATTCTGTAACATATATATACACACACATGTATATATATCTACACACATATACACACATATAAATATATACAAATATATGTATAAACATATTTTGTTTGCCTATTTAACTAGTAATAGATATTTGGGTGGCTTCTCCCTTTTTGCTATTATGTACAAACTTGCTTGACCACAGGTGTGAAAATATCTCAATATTATGTGTATATACCCAAATTATTTTCATTTGAGGGATTTATACTATGAAGTGTAATTATTGAATGAATCTTAGGGTAATTCTACTTTTAAACTTTTGAATCAGTGCCTGTTTTCTATAGTGGCTGCTGTACCATTTTACATGCTCACCAAGAGAGTGGAAAGGTTCTAGTTTCTCCACATCCTTATCGACACTTCATCTTTTTTTTTCTCTTAATGTAGTCATCTTAATGGCATGAAAAGATATATAAGTATGGTTTTCATTTGCATGATCCTAATAATTAGTGGTTATGAACATCTTTCTCTGTACTTACTGACCAGTTGAATACAACTCTTTTATACGCCTTTTATTTTTTTTTACTTTTTTATTTTTTGAGACAGAGCCTCAAGCTGTCCCCCTGGGTAGAGTGCCGTGGCATTACAGCTCACAGCAACCTCCAACTCCTGGGCTCAAGCGAGTCTCTTGCCTCCGCCTCCCAAGTAGCTGGGACCACAGGCGCCCGCCACAGCGCCCTGTTTTGGTGGGTCTGGGCTGGGGATTTGAACCCTCCACCTTAGGTGTACGTGACTGGCGCCTTAGCCCGTTGAGCTATAGGCGCCGAGCCTTTATACGCCTTTTAATTGGCCATCTATTTCTTGTTTCTGAGTTGTAGGTGTTCTTTATATAGTCTGGATATTGACTTTTTATCAAATATATATTTGATACAAATATTTTTCCCATTCCCTGGATTGTTGTTTCACTCTGTTGATTGTGCTCCCTTTGATGCACAGAAGTTTTAAGTTTTGATATGGTCAAATTTATCCAATTTTTCTTTTGCATCCTATGCTTTTGGTGTCATACACAAGAAATTATTGCCAAATACCATGCCGTGAAGCTTTTCTCCTGTGTTTTCTTCTAATGATTTTATAGTTTTAGGTTTTAAATTTAGGCTTTTGATCTTTTGATTTGATTATTATACATGGTATAAGATAAGGATCCAACTTCATTCTTTTCCATGTGAAATTGGTTTTTGCTGAAAAGACTTTCCTTTCACCCTTGAACAGTTTGTGATAATTTTCCAATATCATCTGACCACATACGCGAAGGTTTTACTTTGGACTCTCCATTTTATTCCATTGGTCTACATGTCTGCCTTTGTGGAAATACCATATACTTTTGTTCCATTACTGAAGCATTATAATTGATTTTGAAATAGACTATAAGACTTTCTGCACTTATTCTTTTTCAAGATTATTTTGACCATTTGAATTTCATTAAGATGTCACAAATTTTTGGATAGATTTTTCTATTATAGGAAAAATGCCATTGGAATTTTGTAAGAGCTTCTGTTGAGTCTGTAGAATCTTGTGGGTACTACTGACATTTTAATATCCTTGAACATAGGATATATTTCTATTTACTTGCTTCTTACAGCATTCTTGAATTACTTTTAGTAATATTACCTAACTTTTATGGTACAAGTCTTTAGCATCCTTGTTTAAGTTTGTTCCTAAATATTTTACTCCTTTTGGTACTGTTGAAATGTAATTATTTTCTCGATTTCCAGAGTGTTAATTGTTAGAATATAGAAGTGCAATTGATGTTTGTGTGCTGTTTCTGTATTCTGCAAGTTTGCTGAGGTAAATTATTAGTTCTAAGAAGAAACATATTCAATAGTGGAATTTCAAGTGTTGCGACAGTTGAGTGAGGAGCAGGATATTTGTCTCATGCTCCTCCAAGCAACTCATGTAGGCTCCAAAGCGTTAACATAAATAGGAAAATGGACTTCATAATGTAATCATTGTATGTCTTTAATGTATCAATTTCTTTAACATTTAATTTAAAGGTGGAGAAGTCAAAGGACTATGTTTTTCTAATAATAGATATTCTAACACATGATGGTGTGTTCAACAAGAAACAGAATTTGTAGTTGGGTCCTAATTTTTAAAGCAATGTCCAGCTAGTAGTTGAAAATACTAAATCAGGAGAAAACAAAATCCACTCCACTTTCTATACTATAAAGACACAGGAGCATTAAGTTTTACCCCAGTTCACAAACCTAGTAAGTGAAAGATGCAACATCTCCACTCAGGTCATTTACCTTCAGTTGGTGGATTTTCAATAAACAATAAAAAATAAAAATACACCAATGTAAGAAGTTAGGAAATCAATAGTAAAACAAAATGAATGAGAGTGGCAGCTAAATTAAAGCTACACAAGGAAGCACAGAATGGTATAATGGACATTTGAGACTCAAAGAAGGAGAGGGTGAGGTTAAGCTTATTTCTAAATCAGGAGAAAAGAAAGTCCTCAACTTACT